AGTCATGGTGAATCGCAGGAAGCCGGGGGTGCAGGGCCCTGAGTCCCCCAATACTCCGTGACAACATCCTCTGTCACTAGGTTGCCTCCCTCATTCAGTAAGGAGCCCACACTTTCCTTGACTTTCTTCTTGTTGCTAACATACATGAAGAAACCCTTCTTGTTACTCTTATCTCTTGCTAGCTGCAACTCCAAGTGTGATTTGGCCTTCCTGATTTCACTCCTGCATGCCTGAGCAATATTTTTATACTCCTCCCTGGTCATCTGTCATTCAACTTCTTGTAAGCTTCTTTTTTGAGTTTAAGATCAGCAAGGATTTCACTGTTTAGCCAAGCTGGTCGCCTGCCATAATTACTATTCTTTCTACATATCGGGATGTTTTTTTCCTGCAACCTCAATAAGGAGGCAGAGTGACAGAGTTTTAATTCAAGTATTGCTTCAATAGAAATCAGGTGACACACACTCACCCATTCCAACAACAGTTTGATTCCTTGACCTATTGATCTTAAATACAATCAGTGTCCAGTTCCATAAAGAAAATAAAAAAATCACACTGCTTATATTGTCTTAATTTGGACTTACAAATTTAGACAAAATTGTAGACACATCCATGATTACATTGACAGCCAGTCAAAAGCTTCAAACACATTTAGAGTTCTAGACTACTTTTGTAATTTAAAATAAATTGCTACACAATGTCAGCTAAACTTCTAAAGCTTACAAGACAATTCATATGAGTAGAGAATCAACACTTATCCAAGAAAAATAAAAAGATTAAACAAAGCTTTAAGGTCTAATATTATGGGAAATCACCTTATCTGTGATTAAATTAAATGCTGTTACTTCAGTGTTGACTTTCCCACACACAAAAAAATCAATTTTTTAAAAATATGGAAGTAAAAAGTGAATATACCTTTTTTGGACTTTGCCCCAATCTTCAGCTTGGATGGCCAAGCAATCTGTGTGTTCGTTTCTTCCATAATCTGTTAAAAGAAAAAAAAAGTTAATTTAAAATGCAACTCCCTGCCCCCCATCATTCTATATTATCTAGCGTTCCTTTTTTGGTGAGATCATATTCATCTTTTTTACACATGCCCTAGTAAATACATTTGAAAAGTATAGTTAATGATAAGGGGGTTTTGAGGTGGGTTTGTGTGTGTGAGGACAGGAGGTTGATGTCTCGTGATTCCAAACAGCCTAAAAGATTGCAAGTAGGAACCAAGGAAGTCACACTTCAGTGGCCTCATCCAGCGCCACTGGAGTCAAGGGAATGACCCCAATGACTTCAGTGGGCGTTTGATCAGGCCCATAGTGACAAAAAATCTGTTTTCTTAATTCAAAGTATTTTTACATAAATCCTAGAATATTAACAGGCTCATTTTGAATGCTTACAGACTAAATTACTTCTGCTGTATTCAGTACATGTTGCCTAAGTTTATGTTTCACTATTCTTTAGTTATTTTAAATTTGAAGAAGAAATGTTATCCCTAGAATAGTTTATAGTCCAAAAAATCTTTTGCTTATTGGATTTAGCAGCTCATGCATCCTTTCAAAGTGCTAGAATTCCTATTTTTCTGAAGTCAGCTGATGTGGCTTGCAACTTGCCTATAAAATGTTCACCCTCTGAACATTAACAGAAAAATACAAGTTATCTTGCAAAAAAAAATTCCAATTTTGTGGGCCACATCCTCATCTGATGTGACTGCACTCACTTCAAAGGAGCTACATGAATTTATTCCAATAGAGGATTAGACTATTTATTGTTCAGTAAGTGATTTGCTATTGTGCTCTCATGCCTTACAATTTAATAATATGTAATATTTCATATAGTTTTAATGGCTTCCTTTTCAATTATACCAACAGAAATATTTTTATAACTCAAACAATGCAATTTGTACAGTAAGTGCTTTTGAATACCTTTTTATAAAAAATAATTTTTTAAAGTATTTATTTATTGAGCTAGACATTTTGACAAAAAAAATTCCAATCAGCAAGTGGAAAAAAAAAGAACAAACAGTACAATTTAATCTATCTTGGCACTGTCCAAAATGAGTGAGAGAGAGAGTGTGTGTGTGTGTGTGTGTGTGTATGTGTGTGTGTATAAAATTAAATTCCCAAAATAAATAACCAGACCACTTCAAAAAGTAAAATGAATACATTAAGAGAACCAGAAAACATTCCAACATTCATTGGTCCCGTAGAGTAGCAACATCCTGGACAGATGCACTAATTTAAGAATTCCTAAATGTATACTCTCTGCTGCCCAAATCAATAATAGAATTCCTCTACAGTCACAATTTCTAGATTAGCACACCATGTGGAAAAAGTGAAAATATCAGCCAGGACTCACTGTACTACACTTTGTATGTGTTTCAGCAACTATGGGATAATAAAATTCAGCTGGAGGAAGACATTTCCAACAGAGTGAAATTCTATCAGGAATATATACATATTTCTGAGCAGCCTCCAGTCCAGATGTGAAGAAATCCACTGGTAAGAAATCTGAGTTATAGATCAACCAAAACTCCCACTCACATTGACTTCATTTGTATGCAATTGACTTCACAAAGGAAAGACTGGAGCACATAGCAGTTTGAAATCTCAGTTGTTTGAAATCTCACTCAGTATTTGAAGTGGTCACACTTTTGGAACTACCAAAGAACGTACGAGTTTAAAAAAAATAAACTAGCAAACCCTTTAAAACATAGGCAAGTCTACTCAAGTACAGAAGGGGAAACAATGGTACTGTGCTATGCTCTTCCTGTCCCTCCCGATTTAGTGGAAGCCATTCTCCACATAGACAATAAAATTCAGGCTCTGAAGCTGAAAAGAGCCTAGAAAGGCCAACCACATTCTGCCACGTTCTCTTCAAAGGCAAATCAGCAAAAACTTATGAGTTCTGTTCAATGTCCCTGTCCACCAATGGAGGGTTCTGCAGGCAGTGACCATAATGGGAGCCTTTGACAGCGCAGCTCCACTGCAGACAATGTTAAAGTCGCTTAGCTAGGAGTCAATGTAGAGGCAAAAGGCCTCTATACAGACAGTGATGGCCAAACCCTGTGCTTCTGGGGGGCAGGGAGGAAGGAGAACTTTGCTCATCACAATGGAAAAATCAGAAAAGTTTCTTAAATGCATTTTTCAGTCCCTTAGGTGGGTTATTTCAGAAAACTGGAGCCCATGACCACTGTGATGAAAGAACCTCTTAATGCCAACTGGCAAGGGGGTGTATCATGGTTACAGGAATTTTCTGAATCTAGTATCTATGTTCTGGTTCACTTAAGAATGTTATGTGAGATCTCAAACAAAAAGCTGGCATCACATCGGTCATCCAATATCATTGTGAAATGTATGTAAGGAGTCAGCATATGTTTTTTAAATCTGTATTGGGAGGTTGGTCACCAGCAAAAACAGGTTTTCTGTCAGAAACAGGACGATTAACCATCTATCTGTTTACATGTAAACTGAGTCTTCTCATTCACAATGGTTCTATCAATGGTCTGAACTGAAAGCAAATGAAAGATTACAAAAGAGAGTTCCGAAAGAATCTAACAGGAAGAAAAACACGAGAGGGAGGCGGGGGTGGGTGGGGAGAAGTTCACTTGAAAAGTTTCTTCCATTATATTTGGGAGGCAAAGATGACATGGACATCCCTCACTTAGGAAGTGAATGGACATCTGATTTGCTTCATGGAAGTGGGATCTCAACCAGGCTTGGTCGAAAACACTGGAAACAACCTTGGGTGAGAACTAACCATTATCCTCTGGTCTAAAGAAGTTTAAGTTTAGTCTCTAGCAAGCCTGTTATGATTTTGTTATATATATATAACCATTTGTTTCCAATATTATTATTCACTATCTCTTGAATCTCTCTTTTTTGATGACAAGTTTATTCTTGTTTTCACTATATATGATTAGGTGGGAGGAAAGAGTAAAAAAAAAAGACAATAAAACAAGGAGGGTGGGATGCTAAAGAGAAAAATCAGCTATGTAAGTGGCTGGCAGGGGGGAAAAACCTCATTGGAATAAAAGCTACACACCTCTATTCCCTTGTCCACTCAATAAAAATATGGAATTCTGTATTTGGAACAATATTAGGAGGAAAATCCTTCTATATCTTTATGTCAGACCAAAATGAAATTCAAACCTGTAATCTAAAAAGTGTGCACATTTGGGGGTACAGGAAAGACACACATTTGGGATTTTCAAAAGAGTCTAGGAGTCAATTTTGAAAGACAAAGTGAATAGGAGTTGGCTGCCTACCTCCTTTAAGCTCTTTTGAAAATGCAAGCCTATATTTTTACTACATTTTACAATATCGAGGCTAATGTCCTATTTATTTCCTCTGACCCTTAACATGAGAGACAGTTACCCTACTTTTTCATAAAGCCTTTGTTGTGATTAGAGAACATTAGGCGAAACAGAATACCATCAGTTTACCAAGACAGCCAGGTCTGGGTGCATATAAATTAAGTATGTTCTATGAGTCCATAATCAGAGCAGATATTACAGGGATTTCTCATTTTATATACTATCACTATCATCCAACTCAGATTAGTAAAGTTTACTGTAAATGTTATAATCAGTTATCAAATAATCTCCTACATAAGTTTGGAAACCGTGTGCAATATGTAAAAAAAGAAATAGGAACATGCTTCTTTATTGCACAGTTGCATCTCTTTCTTCATTTTTGCAGCAATACACTCATTCAGTTTCACAGTTATTTTAGTCTTCTAAACTATTTTTACTACTTAAAAAGCTTCCTGTTTTCATTATTTTCTTTCGAGAAATGTGGGTTACTCCTAACAATCAGCTTTAAAATAATTTAAATTACATTTCTTGATGTAATCATCCTGTAATCAAAAGTAAACTTCAAAACACATACACCAGACAGTCATCTACTTTAGTACAACTTAGTTCTTGCAATCTGGAGAGTGAGACTGAGGTTGCATAAAAACAAATTATGACTATTACATATTTTATGATCATTTGCTTTAATTTTTTAACTGAATTCTATAACAGAACTGAAAGAGCCTTACAGAATTTTAGAAAAAGGAAAAAGATGAAGATTTACTATTTATCAAGCACAAAGTAGTTAAATTCAGACAAATCCTAGAACTATGCCATAGTGAGATTCTGCCTCTTACATTACATTCTTTTATTTTGGTTTCATGGTTGTCTCATATTTTGGAAACCAAAATGCTAGCCATCTAGTGATACTTTTTTCCTGAAACAAACTGAGACGCAATCCACACAAAAAAACCAATCGTGTGTGGCAATCAAAAGACAAGGTGGTTGAGGTAATATCTTTTATTGGACCAACTTCTACTGGTGAAGGAGACAAGCTTTTGAGTGGTCTGGTCTTGGAAAGTCACACCTAAAACGGCTAAAACAAGGTGGAATGGATTATTTAGCATAAGTAGTTAACACATTCTAAGGGATCATTCGAAGTTAAGTGGCCAGTTAACATCTCTGCAGTCACAGGACCAAAATAGAGGGGTTAGAGGGTTACAGATTGTTGTAATAAACCATTAGATCCAGTGTCTTTATTAAGATCATGATTTTTACTGTTTATGCAAAGTTATGAATCTAAGGTATCAGACTCGTCTTTGGAAGGTGCTGTGCAGGTTCCCTGTGAGGATAATGATTGAGAGGTCAGATACGGAGTGACCACTTTGTGAAAAGTGTTTGCCTCTGGGTAATACTGTATTTTTGTCTCATCATTTTTCTGTGAGAGTTCATTTGAGAGCACAGTGATTGTCAGGTTTCACCCACATAGTTATTGGAGCATTTAGTGCATTGGATGAGGTATACCACATCTGACTGGCATGAGAACAACCCATGGATCTTGAAAAGGTGTGTCGCAGGGGGTATTGATCATCCTAGCACTAGAGATATGTCTGCCGGTTTTACATCTGTTGTTCTGGCAGGGTCTGGTGCCGATTTGAGTTGGTGGGTCCCAGTCTGTAGGGAACTTGCTCTGATGA